GACGTGGACGTGGACGTGGACTTGGACGTGGACGTGGACGTGGACGTGGACGTGGACGTGGACGTGGACGTGGACCTGGACGTGGACGTGGACGTGGACGTGGACGTGGACGTGGACGTGGACGTGGACGTGTACGTGGACGTGGACGTGGACATGGACGTGGATGTGGACGTGGACCTGGACGTGGACGTGGACGTGGACGTGGACATGGATGGACATGGACGTGGCCATGGTCGTGGACGTGGACGTGGACGTGGACGTGGACATGGACGTGGACGTGGACGTGGACGTGGACGTGTACATGGACGTGGACGTGGACGTGGACGTGGACGTAGACGTGGACGTGGACGTAGACGTGGACGTGGACATGGACGTGGACGTGGACGTGGACGTGGACGTAGACGTGGACGTGGACGTAGACGTAGACGTGGACGTGGACGTTGACGTAGACGTGGACGTGGACGTGGACATGGACGTGGACGTGGACGTGGACGTGGACGTGGACGTGGACGTGGACGATATGGACGTGGACGTGGACGTGGACGTGGACGTGGACGTGGACGTGGACGTGGACATGGACGTGGACCGCGTCCGCGTCCGCAGACGTGGACGTGGACGTGGACGTGGTCGTGGACGTGGACGTGGACGTGGACGTGGACGTGGACGTGGACATGGACGTGGACGTGGACGTGGACGCGGTCGTGGACGTGGACGTGGACGTGGACGTGGACGTGGAAGTGGACGTGGACGTGGACGTGGACGTGGACGTGGACGTGGACGTGGACGTGGATGTGGACGTGGAGATGGACGTGGACGTGGACGTGGACGTGGACGTGGACGTGGAGATGGACGTGGACGTGGACGTGGACATGGACGTGGACATGGACGTGGACGTGGACGTGGACGTGGACGTGGACATAGACGTGGACGTGGACGTGGACGTGGACGTGGACGTGGACGTGGACATGGTCGTGGACGTGGACGTGGACATGGACGTGGACGTGGACGTGGATGTGGACATGGACATGGACGTGGACGTGGACGTGGACGTGGACGTGGTAGACTTGGACGTGGACATGGACGTGGACGTGGACGTGGACGTGGACGTGGAGGACGTGGACATGGACGTGGACGTGGACATGGACGTGGACATGGACGTGGACGTGGACGTGGACGTGGACATGGTCGTGGACGTGGACGTGGACGTGGACGTGGACATGGACGTGGACATGGTCGTGGACGTGGACGTGGACGTGGACGTGGACATGGACGTGGACGTGGACATGAAGGACATGGACGTGGACGTGGACGTGGACGACTTGGACGTGGACATGGACGTGGACGTCGACGTGGACGTGGACCTGGACGTGGACGTGGACGTGGACGTGGACGTGCACATGGACGTGGACATGGACGTGGACGTGGACGTGGACATGGACGTGGACGTGGACGTGGACGTGGACGTGGACATGGACGTGGACGTGGACGTGGACGTGGACGTGGACATGGACGTGGACGTGGACGTGGACGTGGAAGTGGACGTGGACGCGGACGTGGACATGGACGTGGACGTGGACGTGGACGTGGACGTGGACATGGACGTGGACGTGGACTTGGACGTGGACGTGGACGTGGACATGGACGTGGACGTGGACGTAGACGTGGACGTGGACATAGACGTGGACGTGGACCTGGACGTGGACGTGGACGTGGACGTGGACGTGGACGTGGACGTGGACGTGGACGTGGACGTGGACGTGGACGTGGACGTGGACGTGGACGTGTAGACGTGGACGTGGACGTGGACGTGGACGTGGACGTGGACGTGGACGTGGACGTGTGGACGTGGACGTGGACGTGTAGACGTGGACGTGGACTTGGACGTGGACGTGGACGTGGACGTGGACTTGGACGTGGACGTGGACGTGGACGTGGACGTGGACATGGACGTGGACGTGGACGTCGACATGGTCGTGGACGTCGACATGGTCGTGGGCGTGGACATGGACATGGACGTGGACGTGGACGTGGACATGGACGTGGACGTGGACGTGGACGTGGACGTGGACGTGGACGTGGACGTGGACGTGGACATCGACGTGGACGTGGACATGGACATGGACGTGGACATGGACGTGGACGTGGACGTGGACGTGGACATGGACGTGGATATGGACGTGGACGTGGATATGGACGTGGACGTGGACGTGGACGTGGACGTGGACATGGACGTGGACGTGGACGTGGACGTGGACGTGGACATGGACATGGACGTGGACGTGGACGTGGACGTGGACGTGGACATGGACGTGGACGTGGACATGGACGTGGACGTGGACATGGACGTGGACGTGGACGTGGACGTGGACGTGGACATGGACGTGGACGTGGACGTGGACATGGACAAGGACGTGGACGTGGACCTGAACATGGACGTGGACCTGAACATAGACGTGGACGTGGACGTGGACGTGGACGTGGACGTGGACGTGGACGTGGACCTGGACGTGGACGTGGACATGAACGTGGACGTGGACGTGGACGTGGACGTGGACGTGGACGTGGACATGGAGGTGGACGTGGACGTGGACGTGAACGTGGACGGGGACGTGGACGTAGACGTGGACGTGGACGTGGACATGGACATGGACGTGGACGTGGACGTGGACGTGGACATGGACGTGGACCTGAACATAGACGTGGACGTGGACGTGGACGTGGACGTGGACGTGGACATGGACGTGGACGTGGACATGGACGTGGACGTGGACGTGGACGTGGACGTGGACGTGGACGTGGACATAGACGTGGACGTGGACGTGGACGTGGACGTGGACATGGAGGTGGACGTGGACGTGGACGTGGACGTGGACGGGGACGTGGACGTAGACGTGGACGTGGACGGGGACGTGGACGTAGACGTGGACGTGGAGGTGGACGTGGACGTGGACGTGGACGTGGACATAGAGGTGGACGTGGACGTGGACGTGGACATGGACGTGGATGTGGACGTGGACGTGGACATGGACGTGGACGTGGACGTGGACGTGGACGTGGACGTTGACGTGGACGTGGACGTGGTCGTGGACGTGGACGTGGACGTGGACCTGGTCGTGGACGTGGACGTGGACGTGGACGTGGACGTGGACATGGTCGTGGACGTGGACGTGGACGTGGACGTGGACGTGGACGTGGACATGGTCCTGGACATGGACGTGGACGTGGACGTGGACGTGGACATGGTCGTGGACGTGGACGTGGACGTGGACGTGGACGTGGACCTGGTCGTGGACGTGGACGTGGACGTCGACGTGGACGTCGTCGTGGACGTGGACGTGGACGTTGACGTGGACGTGGACGTGGACATGGTCGTGTGGACGTGGTCGTAGACGTGGACGTGGACGTGGTCGTGGACGTGGACGTGGACGTGGACGTGGACATGGACGTGGACGTGGACGTGGACATGGACATGGACGTGGACGTGGACGTGGACGTGGACATGGACGTGGACCTGAACATAGACGTGGACGTGGACGTGGACGTGGACGTGGACGTGGACGTGGACGTGGACGTGGACGTGGACATGGACGTGGACGTGGACATGGACGTGGACGTGGACGTGGACGTGGACGTAGACGTAGACGTGGACGGGGACGTGGACGTAGACGTGGACGTGGAGGTGGACGTGGACGTGGACATAGAGGTGGACGTGGACGTGGACGTGGACATGGACGTGGACGTGGACGTGGACATGGACGTGGACGTGGACGTGGACGTGGACGTTGACGTAGACGTGGACGTGGTCGTGGACGTGGACGTGGACGTGGACGTGGACGTGGACCTGGTCGTGGACGTGGACGTGGACGTGGACGTGGACGTGGACATGGTCGTGGACATGGACGTGGACGTGGACGTGGACGTGGACGTGGACATGGTCATGGCCGTGGACGTGGACGTGGACGTGGACGTGGACATGGTCGTGGACGTGGACGTGGACGTGGACGTGGACCTGGTCGTGGACGTGGACGTGGACGTCGACGTGGACGTGGTCGTGGACGTGGACGTGGACGTTGACGTGGACGTGGACGTGGACGTGGACATGGTCGTGTGGACGTGGTCGTAGACGTGGACGTGGACGTGGACGTGGTCGTGGACGTGGACGTGGACGTGGACGTGGACGTGGACGTGGACGTTGACGTGGACGTGGACGTGGTCATGGACGTGGACGTGGACGTGGACGTGGACGTTGACGTGGACGTGGACGTGGACGTGGTCGTGGACGTGGACGTGGAGGACGTGGAGGACGTGGACGTCGTGGACGTGGAGGACTTGGACGTGGACGTGGACGTGGACGTGGACGTGGTCGTGGACGTGGACGTGGACGTGGACGTGGTCGTGGACGTGGTCGTGGACGTGGTCGTGGACGTGGACGTGGACGTGGACGTGGACGTGGTCGTGGACGTGGTCGTAGACGTGGACGTGGAGGTGGTCGTGGAGGTGGTCGTGGACGTGGACATGGAGGTGGTCGTAGACGTGGACGTGGACGTGGACGTGGACGTGGACATGGACGTGGACGTGGACATGGACGTGGACGTGGACGTGGACGTGGTCGTGGACGTGGACAAGGACGTGGTTGTGGACGTGGACGTGGTCTTGGACGTGGTCGTAGACGTGGACGTGGAGGTGGTCGTGGAGGTGGTCGTGAACGTGGACGTGGAGGTGGTCGTGGTCGTGGACGTGGACGTGGACGTGGACGTGGAGGTGGTCGTAGACGTGGACGTGGAGGTGGTCGTGGAGGTGGTCGTGGTTGTGGTCGTGGTCGTGGACGTGGACCTGGACGTGGACGTGGTCGTGGTCGTGGTCGTGGTCGTGTCGTGGACCTGGACGTGGACGTGGACGTGGATGTGGTCGTGGACGTGGACGTGGACGTGGACCTGGACGTGGACGTGGACGTGGACGTAGACGTGGACATGGACGTGGACGTGGACGTGGACGTGGACATGGTCGTGGACGTGGACATGGACGTGGACGTGGACGTGGACGTAGACTTGGACGTGGACGTGGACCGTGGACGTAGACGTGGACGTGGACATGGACGTGGACGTGGTCGTGGACGTGGTCGTGGTCGTGGTCGTGGACGTGGACGTGGACGTGGACGTGGACTGGTCTTGGACGTGGACGTGGGCGTGGACGTGGACGTGGACGTGGACGTGGACGTGGACATGGTCGTGGACGTGGGCGTGGACGTGGACGTGGACATGGTCGTGGACGTGGACGTGGACGTGGACGTGGTCGTGGACATGGACGTGGACGTGGAAGTGGGCGTGGACGTGGACGTGGACGTGGATGTGGACCTGGTCGTGGACGTGGACGTGGACGTGGACGTGGACATGGACGTGGACATGGACGTGGACGTGGACGTGGACGTTGACGTGGACGTGGATGTGGTCGTGGTCGTGGACGTGGACGTGGACGTGGACGTGGACTTGGACGTGGACCTGGTCGTGGACGTGGACGTGGACGTGGACGTGGACGTGGACGTCGACGTGGACGTGGACCTGGTCGTGGACGTGGACGTGGACGTCGACGTGGACGTGGACATGGTCGTGTGGACGTGGACGTTGACGTGGACGTCGACGTGGACGTGGTCGTGGACGTGGACGTGGACGTGGACGTGGACCTGGACGTGGACGTGGTCGTGGACGTGGACGTGGACGTGGACGTTGACGTGGACGTGGACGTGGTCGTAGACGTGGACGTGGACGTGAACGTGCACGTGGACGTTGACGTGGACGTGGACGTGGACCTGGTCGTGGACGTGGACGTGGACGTGGACGTGGACCTGGTCGTGGACGTGGACGTGGACGTGGTCGTGGACGTGGACGTGGACGTGGTCGTGGACGTGGACGTGGACGTGGAGGTGGAGGTGGACATGGATGTGGACGTAGACGTGGACATGGACGTAGACGTGGACGTGAACGTGGACGTGGACGTGGTCGTGGACGTGGACGTGGACGTGGACGTGGACGTGGAGGTGGACGTGGAGGTGGACGTGGAGGTGGACGTGGAGGTGGACGTGGAGGTGGACGTGGAGGTGGACGTGGACGTGGAGGTGGAGGTGGACGTGGACGTGGAGGTGGACGTGGACGTGGACGTGGACGTGGACGTGGACGTGGACGTGGACATGGTCGTGGACGTGGACGTCGACGTCGACGTGGACGTGGACGTGGACCTGGTCGTGGACGTGGACGTGGACGTCGACGTGGACGTGGTCGTGGACGTGGACGTGGACGTGGACGTGGACTTGGACGTGGACCTGGTCGTGGACGTGGACGTGGACATGGTCGTGGACGTGGACGTGGACGTGGACGTGGACGTGGACATGGTCGTGGACGTGGACGTGGACGTGGACGTGGACGTGGACCTTGACGTGGACGTCGACGTGGACGTGGACCTGGTCGTGGACGTGGACGTGGACGTCGACGTGGACGTGGACATGGTCGTGTGGACGTGGACGTTGACGTGGACATCGACGTGGACGTGGTCGTGGACATGGACGTGGATGTGGACGTGGACCTGGACGTGGTCGTGATCGTGGACGTGGACGTGGACGTAGACGTTGACGTGGACGTGGACGTGGTCGTAGACGTGGACGTGGACGTGAACGTGGACGTGGACGTGGACGCGTGGACGTGGACGTGGACGTGGACGTGGACATGGACGTGGTCGTGGACGTGGACGTGGTCGTGGTCGTGGACATGGACGTGGACGTGGACGTGGACGTGGACGTGGACGTACACGTGGACGTGGACGTGGACGTGGACGTGGACGTGGACGTGGTCGTGGACCTGGACGTGGACGTGGACGTGGACGTGGTCGTGGAGGTGGACGTGGAGGTGGACGTGGACGTGGACGTAGACGTGGACGTGGACGTGGACCTGGACGTGGACGTGGACGTGGACTTGGACGTGGACGTGGACGTGGACGTGGACGTGGACTTGGACGTGGACGTGGACGTGGACGTGGACATGGACGTGGACGTGGACGTGGACGTGGACGTGGTCGTGGAGGTGGACGTGGACGTGGACGTGGACGTGGACGTGGACGTGGACTTGGACGTGGACGTGGACGTGGATGTGGACGTGGACATGGACGTGGACGTGGACGTGGACGTGGACTTGGACGTGGACATGGACGTGGACGTGGACGTGGACGTGGACGTGGACGTGAACGTGGAGGTGGACGTGGACGTAGACATAGACGTGGTCGTGGACGTGGACGTGGACGTGGTCGTGGACGTGGACGTGGAGGTGGACGTGGTCGTGGACGTGGACGTGGACGTGGACGTGGACGTGGACGTGGACGTGGACGTGGACATGGACATGGACGTGGACGTGGACGTGGACGTGGACGTGGACGTGGACGTGGACGTGGACGTGGTCGTGGTCGTGGACGTAGACGTGGACGTGGACTTGGACGTGGACGTGGACGTGGACGTGGACGTGGAGGTGGACGTGGACGTGGACATAGACGTGGTCGTGGACGTGGACGTGGACGTGGACGTGGACGTGGACATGGACGTGAACGTGGACGTGGTCGTGGACGTGGACGTGGACGTGGACGTGGACGTGGAGGTGGACGTGGACGTGGACATAGACGTGGTCGTGGACTTGGACGTGGACGTGGTCGTGGACGTGGACATGGACTTGGACGTGGACGTGGACGTGGACGTGGACATGGACGTGGACGTGGACGTGGACGTGGACGTACACGTGGACGTGGACGTGGACGTGGACGTACACGTGGACATGGACGTGGACATGGACGTGGACGTGGACGAGGACGTGGACGTGGAGGACGTGGACGTGGACGTGGACGTGGAGGACGTGGACGTGGACGTGGAGGACGTGGACGTGGAACTGGACGTGGACGTGGACGTGGACGCGTGGACATGGACGTGGACGTGGACGCGTGGAGGTGGACGTGGACGTGGACGTGGACGTGGACATGGACGTGGACGTGGACGTGGACGTGGTCGTGGACGTGGACGTGGACGTGGACGTGGACGTGGACATGGATGTGGACGTATACGTGGACGTGGACGTGGACGTGGACGTGGACGTGGACCTGGACGTGGACGTGGACGTGGACGTGAACGTGGACGTGGACCTGGACGTGGACGTGGACGTGGACGTGGACGTGGTCGTGGAGGTGGACGTGGACGTGGACGTGGATGTGGACTTGGACGTGGACCTGGACGTGGACGTGGACGTGGACGTGGACTTGGACGTGGACGTGGACGTGGACGTGGACGTGGACGTGGACGTGGACCTGGTCGTGGAGGTGGACCTGGTCGTGGACGTGGACCTGGACGTGGACGTGGACGTGGACGTGGACGTGGACCTGGACGTGGACGTGGACGTGGACACGTGGACGTGGACGTGGACGTGGACACGTGGACGTGGACGTGGACGTGGACTTGGACGTGGACGTGGACGTGGACGTGGACGTGGACTTGGACGTGGACGTGGACTTGGACGTGGACATGGACGTGGACGTGGACGTGGACGTGGACGTGGACGTGAACGTGGAGGTGGACGTGGACGTGGACGTGGACGTGGACGTGGACGTGGACGTGGAGGTGGACGTGGACGTGGTCGTGGACGTGGACGTGGACGTGGACGTGGACGTGGACATGGACGTGGACGTGGACGTGGACGTACACGTGGACGTGGACGTGGACGTGGACGTACACGTGGACGTGGACGTGGACATGGACGTGGACGTGGACGAGGACGTGGACGTGGAGGACGTGGACGTGGACGTGGACGTGGACGTGGAGGACGTGGACGTGGACGTGGAGGACGTGGACGTGGACGTGGACGTGGACGTGGACGCGTGGACATGGACGTGGACGTGGACGTGGACGTGGACGTGGACGTGGACATGGACGTGGACGTGGACGTGGTCGTGGACGTGGACGTGGACGTGGACGTGGACATACACGTGGACGTACACGTGGACGTGGACGTGGACGTGGACGTGGACCTGGACGTGGACGTGGACGTGGACGTGGACGTGGACGTGGACGTGGACGTGGACGTGGACCTGGACGTGGACGTGGACGTGGACGTGGACGTGGTCGTGGAGGTGGACGTGGACGTGGACGTGGACGTGGACGTGGTCGTGGACGTGGACGTGGACGTGGACGTGGACGTGGACGCGTGGACGTGGACGTGGACGTGGACGTGGACGTGGACGTGGACGTGGACGTGGACTTGGACGTGGACGTGGACGTGGACGTACACGTGGACGTGGACGTGGACGTACACGTGGACGTGGACGTGGTTGTGGACGTGGACGTGGACGTGGACGAGGACGAGGACGTGGACGTGGTTGTAGACGTGGACGTGGACGAGGACGTGGACGTGGACGTGGTTGTGGACGTGGACGTGGAGGACGTGGACGTGGACGTGGACGTGGAGGACGTGGACGTGGACCTGGACGTGGAGGACGTGGACGTGGACGTGGACGTGGACGCGTGAACATGGACGTGGACGTGGACGCGTGGACGTGGACGTGGACGTGGACGTAGACGTGGACATGGACGTGGACGTGGACATGGACGTGGTCGTGGACGTGGGCGTGGACGTGGACGTGGACGTGGACGTACACGTGGACGTGGACGTGGACGTGGACGTGCACGTGGACGTGGACGTGGACGTGGACGTGGACATGGACGTGGACGTGGACGTGGACCTGGACGTGGACGTGGACGTGGACGTGGACCTGGACGTGGACGTGGACGTGGACGTGGACGTGGACGTGGACTTGGACGTGGACCTGGACGTGGACGTGGACATGGACATGGACGTGGACGTGGACGTGGACGTGGACGTGGTCGTGGACGTGGACGTGGACGTGGACGTGGACGTGGTCGTGGACGTGGACGTGGACGTGGACGTGGAAGTGGTCGTGGACGTGGACGTGGACGTGGACGTGGTCGTGGACGTGGACGTGGACGTGGACGTGGACCTGGACGTGGACGTGGACGTGGACGTGGACGTGGACGTGGACGTGGACGTGGACGTGGACGTGGACGTGGAAGTGGTCGTGGACGTGGACGTGGACGTGGACGTGGTCGTGGACGTGGACGTGGACGTGGACGTGGACCTGGACGTGGACGTGGACGTGGACGTGGACGTGGACGTGGACGTGGACGTGGACGTGGAGGACGTGGACGTGGACGTGGACGCGTGGACGTGTACGTGGACGTGGACGCGTGGACGTGGACGTGGACGTGGACGTGGACATGGACGTGGACGTGGACGTGAACGTGAACGTGGACGTGGACGTGGACGTGGACGTGGACGTGGACGTGGACATGGACGTGGACGTGGACGTGGTCGTGGACGTGGACGTGGACGTGGACGTGGACGTGGACTTGGACGTGGACGTGGACGTGGACGTGGACTTGGACGTGGTCGTGGACGTGGTCGTGGACGTGGACATGGTCGTGGACGTGGACGTGGACGTTGACGTGGACGTAAACTTGGACGTGGACGTGGACGTGGACGTGGACTTGGACGTGGACGTGGTCGTGGTCGTGGACTTGGACGTGGACGTGGACGTGGACGTGGACGTGGACGTGGACGTGGACATGGACGTGGACGTGGACGTGGAGGTGGACATGGTCGTGGACGTGGACGTGGAGGACTTGGACGTGGACATGGACGTGGACTTGGACGTGGACTTGGACGTGGACGTGGACGTGGACCTGGTCGTGGACGTGGACGTGGACCTGGTCGTGGATGTGGACGTGGACGTGGACGTGGACGTGGACGTGGTCGTGGACGAAGACGTGGACGTGGACGTGGACGTGGACGTGGTCGTGGACGAAGACGTGGACCTGGACGTGGTCGTGGACATGGACGTGGACGTGGACGTGGACGTGGTCGTGGACGTGGACGTAGACGTGGACGTGGTCGTGGACGTGGACGTGGACGTGGACGTGGACGTGGTCGTGGACGTGGACGTGGACGTGGTCGTGGACGTGGACGTGGACGTGGACATGGTCGTGGACGTGGACGTGGACGTGGACATGGACGTGGACGTGGACGTGGACGTGGACGTGGACGTGGCCGTGGACGTGGTCGTGGACGTGGACGTGGACGTGGACGTGGACGTGGACGTGGACGTGGACGTGGTCGTGGACGTGGACGTGGACGTGGACGTGGACGTGGACGTGGACGTGGACGTGGACTTGGACGTGGACGTGGACGTGGACGTGGACATGGACGTGGACGTGGACGTGGACGTGGACGTGACGTGGACTTGACCCGGACGTGCACGTGGACGTGGACGTGGACGTGGAGGTGGACTTGACCTGGACGTGGACGTGGACGTGGACGTGGACGCGGACTTGACCTGGACGTGGACGTGGGACGCGGACGCGGACGTTGGACGGAGACGCGGACGCGGACGTTGGACGGGGACGTGGACGCGGACGTGGACGTGGACGCGGACGCGGACGTGCGGACGTGGACGTGGACGTGGTCGTGGACGTGGACGTGGACGTGGACGTGGACGTGGACGTGGACATGGACGTGGACGCGGACGTGGACGTGGACGTGGACGTGGACGTGGACGTGGACGTGGACGTGGTCGTGGACGTGGACGTGGACGTGGACGTGGACGTGGTCGTGGACGTGGACGTGGACGTGGACGTGGACGTGGACGTGGACGTGGACGTGGTCGTGGACGTGGACGTGGACGTGGACGTGGACGTGGACATAGACGTGGTCGTGGACGTGGACGTGGACGTGGTTGTGGACGTGGACGTGGACGTGGACGTGGACGTGGACCTGGACGTGGACGTGGACGTGGACGTGGACGTGGACGTGGACGTACACGTGGACATGGACATGGACGTGGACGTGGACGTGGACGTGGACGTGGACGTGGACGTGGACGTGGACGTGGACGTGGACGTGGACGTGGACGTGGACGTGGACGTGGACGTGGACATGGACGTGGACGTGGATGCGTGGACGTGGACGTGGACGTGGACGTGGACGTGGACATGGACGTGGACGTGGTCGTGGTCGTGGACGTGGACGTGGACGTGGTCGTGGACGTGGACGTGGACGTACACGTGGACGTGGACGTGGACCTGGACGTGGTCGTGGACGTGGACGTGGACGTACACGTGGACGTGGACGTGGACGTGGACGTGGACGTGGAGGACGTGGTCGTGGACGTGGACGTGGAGGACGTGGACGTGGACGTGGACGTGGACGCGTGGACGTGGACGTGGACATGGACGTGGACGCGTGGACGTGGACGTGGACGTGGACGTGGTCGTGGACGTGGACGTGGACGTGGACGTGGTCGTGGACATGGACGTGGACGTGGTCGTGGACGTGGACGTGGACGTGGACGTGGACGTGGACGTGGACGTGGACGTGAACGTGAACGTGGACGTGGACGTGGACGTGGACGTGGACGTGGACATGGACGTGGACGTGGACGTGGTCGTGGACGTGGACGTGGACGTGGACGTGGACGTGGACTTGGACGTGGACGTGGACGTGGACGTGGACTTGGACGTGGTCGTGGACGTGGTCGTGGACGTGGACATGGTCGTGGACGTGGACGTGGACGTGGACGTGGACGTAAACTTGGACGTGGACGTGGACGTGGACTTGGACGTGGACGTGGTCGTGGTCGTGGACTTGGACGTGGACGTGGACGTGGACGTGGACGTGGACGTGGACGTGGACATGGTCGTGGACGTGGACGTGGACATGGACGTGAACGTGGACGTGGACGTGGACGTGGACGTGGACATGGTCGTGGACGTGGACGTGGAGGTGGACATGGTCGTGGACGTGGACGAGGACTTGGACGTGGACATGGACGTGGACTTGGACGTGGACTTGGACGTGGACGTGGACGTGGACCTGGTCGTGGACGTGGACGTGGACCTGGTCGTGGATGTGGACGTGGACGTGGACGTGGACGTGGTCGTGGACGAAGACGTGGACGTGGACGTGGACGTGGACGTGGACGTGGTCGTGGACATGGACGTGGTCGTGGACATGGACGTGGTCGTGGACGAAGACGTGGACCTGGACGTGGTCGTGGACATGGATGTGGACGTGGACGTGGACGTGGTCGTGGACGTGGACGTAAACGTGGACGTGGTCGTGGACGTCGACGTGGACGTGGACGTGGACGTGGTCGTGGACGTGGACGTGGACGTGGTCGTGGACGTGGACGTGGACGTGGACGTGGACATGGTCGTGGACGTGGACGTGGACGTGGACATGGACGTGGACGTAGACGTGGACGTGGACGTGGACGTGGACGTGGCCGTGGACGTGGTCGTGGACGTGGACGTGGACGTGGACGTGGACGTGGACGTGGACGTGGTCGTGGACATGGACGTGGACGTGGACGTGGACGTGGACGTGGACTTGGACGTGGACGTGGACGTGGACGTGGACGTGGACATGGACGTGGACGTGGACGTGGACGTGGACGTGACGTGGACTTGACCTGGACGTGCACATGGACGTGGACGTGGACGTGGACGTGGACGTGGAGGTGGACTTGACCTGGACGTGGACGTGGACGTGGACGTGGACGCGGACTTGACCTGGACGTGGACGTGGGACGCGGACGCGGACGTTGGACGGGGACGCGGACGCGGACGTTGGACGGGGACGTGGACGCGGACGTGGACGTGGACGCGGACGCGGACGTGCGGACGTGGACGTGGACGTGGTCGTGGACGCGGACGTGGACATGGACGTGGACGCGGACGTGGACGTGGACGTGGACGTGGACGTGGACGTGGACGTGGTCGTGGACGTGGTCGTGGACGTGGACGTGGACATGGACGTGGACATGGTCGTGGACGTGGACGTGGACGTGGACGTGGACGTGGACGTGGTCGTGGACGTGGACGTGGACGTGGACGTGGACGTGGACGTGGACGTGGACGTGGTCGTGGACGTGGACGTGGACGTGGTTGTGGACGTGGACGTGGACGTGGACGTGGACGTGGACCTGGACGTGGACGTGGACGTGGACGTGGACGTGGACGTGGACGTACACGTGGACATGGACATGGACGTGGACGTGGACGTGGACGTGGACGTGGAGGACGTGGACGTGGACGTGGACGTGGATGTGGACGTGGACGCGTGGACGTGGACGCGTGGACGTGGACGTGGACGTGGACGTGGACGCGTGGACGTGGACGTGGACGTGGACGTGGACGTGGACGTGGTCGTGGACGTGGACGTGGACGTAGACGTGGTCGTGGACGTGGACGTGGACGTGGACGTGGACGTGGACGTGGACGTGGACATGGACGTGGACGTGGACGTGGACGTGGACGTGGTCGTGGACGTGGACGTGGACGTGGACGTCGACGTGGACGTGGACGTGGACGTGGACGTGGACGTGGACGTGGATGTGGTCGTGGACGTGGACGTGGTCGTGGACGTGGACGTGGACGTACACGTGGACGTGGACGTGGACGTGGACGTACACGTGGACGTACACGTGGACGTGGACGTGGAGGACGTGGTTGTGGACGTGGACGTGGAGGACGTGGACGTGGACATGGACGTGGACGCGTGGACGTGGACGTGGACGTGGACGTGGACGTGGACGTGGTCGTGGACGTGGACGTGGACGTGGACGTGGTCGTGGACGTGGACGTGGACGTGGTCGTGGACGTGGACGTGGACGTGGACGTGGACGTGGACGTGGACGTGGACGTGGTCGTGGACGTGGACGTGGACGTGGACATGGACGTGGACGTGGACGCGTGGACGTGGACGTGGACGTGGACGTGGTCGTGGTCGTGGACGTGGACGTGGTCGTGGTCGTGGACGTGGACGTGGACGTGGACGTGGTCGTGGACGTGGACGTGGACGTGGACGTGGACGTGGACGTGGAGATGGACGTGGACGTGGACGTGGACGTGGAGATGGACGTGGACGTGGACGTGGTAGTGGACGTGGACGTGGACGTGGACGTAGACGTGGACGTGGACGTGGACGTGGTCGTGGACGTGGACGTGGATGTGGACGTGGACGTGGTCGTGGACGTGGACGTGGACGTGGTCGTGGACGTGGACGTGGACGTGGTCGTACACGTGGACGTGGACGTGGACCTGGACGTGGTCGTGGACGTGGACGTGGACGTACACGTGGACGTGGACGTGGACGTGGACGTACACGTGGACGTGGACGTGGACGTGGACGTGGACGTGGAGGACGTGGTTGTGGACGTGGACGTGGAGGACGTGGACGTGGACGTGGACGTGGATGTGGACGCGTGGACGTGGACGTGGACGTGGACGTGGACGCGTGGACGTGGACGTGGACGTGGACGTGGTCGTGGACGTGGACGTGGACGTGGACGTGGTCGTGGACGTGGACGTGGACGTGGTCGTGGACGTGGACGTGGACGTGGACGTGGACGTGGACGTGGACGTGAACGTGGACGTGGACGTGGACGTGGACGTGGTCGTGGACGTGGTCCTGGACGTGGACGTGGACGTGGACGTGGTCGTGGACGTGGACGTGGACGTGGACGTGGTCGTGGACGTGGACGTGGACGTGGTCGTGGACGTGGACGTGGACGTGGACGTGGACGTGGACGTGGACGTGGACGTGGACGTGGACGTGGTCGTGGACGTGGACGTGGACGTGGACATGGACGTGGACGTGGACGCGTGGACGTGGACGTGGACGTGGACGTGGTCGTGGACGTGGACGTGGACGTGGTCGTGGTCGTGGACGTGGACGTGGACGTGGACGTGGTCGTGGACGTGGACGTGGACGTGGACGTGGACGTGGACGTGGAGATGGACGTGGACGTGGACGTGGACGTGGAGATGGACGTGGACGTGGACGTGGTAGTGGACGTGGACGTGGACGTGGACGTAGACGTGGACGTGGACGTGGACGTGGTCGTGGACGTGGTAGTGGACGTGGACGTGGACGTGGTCGTGGACGTGGACGTGGTCGTGGACGTGGACGTGGACGTGGACGTACACGTGGACGTGGACGTGGACCTGGACGTGGTCGTGGACGTGGACGTGGACGTACACGTGGACGTGGACGTGGACGTGGACGTACACGTGGACGTGGACGTGGACGTGGACGTGGACGTACACGTGGTTGTGGACGTGGACGTGGAGGACGTGGACGTGGACGTGGACGTGGACGTGGAGGACGTGGTTGTGGACGTGGACGTGGAGGACGTGGACGTGGACGTGGACGTGGATGTGGACGCGTGGACGTGGACGTGGACGTGGACGTGGACGCGTGGACGTGGACGTGGACGTGGACGTGGTCGTGGACGTGGACGTGGACGTGGACGTGGTCGTGGACGTGGACGTGGACGTGGTCGTGGACGTGGACGTGGACGTGGACGTGGACGTGGACGTGGACCGTGGACGTGGACGTGAACGTGAACGTGGACGTGGACGTGGACGTGGACGTGGACGTGGACGTGGACGTGGACGTGGACATGGACGTGGTCGTGGACGTGGACGTGGACGTGGACGTGGACGTGGACTTGGACGTGGACGTGGACGTGGACGTGGACGTGGACTTGGACGTGGTCGTGGACGTGGTCGTGGACGTGGACATGGTCGTGGACGTGGACGTGGACGTGGACGTGGACGTAAACTTGGACGTGGACGTGGACGTGGACTTGGACGTGGACGTGGTCGTGGTCGTGGACTTGGACGTGGACGTGGACGTGGACGTGGACGTGGACGTGGACGTGGACGTGGACATGGTCGTGGACGTGGACGTGGACATGGACGTGAACGTGGACGTGGACGTGGACATGGTCGTGGACGTGGACGTGGAGGTGGACATGGTCGTGGACGTGGACGTGGACGTGGAGGTGGACATGGTCGTGGACGTGGATGTGGAGGACTTGGACGTGGACATGGACGTGGACTTGGACGTGGACTTGGACGTGGACGTGGACGTGGACCTGGTCGTGGACGTGGACGTGGACGTGGACGTGGATGTGGACGTGGACGTGGTCGTGGACAAAGACATGGACGTGGACGTGGACGTGGACGTGGTCGTGGACGAAGACGTGGACCTGGACGTGGTCGTGGACATGGACGTGGACGTGGACGTGGACGTGGTCGTGGACGTGGACGTAGACGTGGACGTGGTCGTGGACGTGGACGTGGACGTGGACGTGGTCGTGGACGTGGACGTGGACGTGGTCGTGGACGTGGACGTGGACGTGGACATGGTCGTGGACGTGGACGTGGACGTGGACATGGACGTGGACGTGGACGTGGACGTGGACGTGGACGTGGACGTGGCCGTGGACGTGGTCGTGGACGTGGACGTGGACGTGGACGTGGACGTGGACGTGGACGTGGTCGTGGACGTGGACGTGGACGTGGACGTGGACGTGGACGTGGACGTGGACGTGGACTTGGACGTGGACGTGGACATGGACGTGGACGTGGACGTGGACGTGGACGTGGACGTGACGTGGACTTGACCTGGACGTGCACGTGGACGTGGACGTGGACGTGGACGTGGACGTGGAGGTGGACTTGACCTGGACGTGGACGTGGACGTGGACGTGGACGCGGACTTGACCTGGACGTGGACGTGGGACGCGGACGCGGACGTTGGACGGGGACGCGGACGCGGACGTTGGACGGGGACGTGGACGCGGACGTGGACGTGGACGCGGACGCGGACGTGCGGACGTGGACGTGGACGTGGTCGTGGACGCGGACGTGGACATGGACGTGGACGTGGACATGGTCGTGGACGCGAACGCGGACGTGGACGTGGACGTGGACGTGGTCGTGGACGTGGTCGTGGACGTGGACGTGGACGTGGTCGTGGACGTGGACGTGGACTTGGACGTGGACGTGCACGTGGACGTGGACTGGACCTGGACGTGGACTTGACCTGGACGTGGACGTGGACGTGGACGTGGACGTGGAAGTGGAAGTGGACGTGGCCGTGGACGTGGACGTGGAAGTGGAAATGGACGTGGACGTGGACCTGGACCTGGACGTGGACGTGGACGTGGACATGGACGTGGACATGGACATAGACGTGGACGTGGACGTGGACGTGGACGTGGACTTGGACGTGGACGTGGACGTGGACGTGGACGTGGTCGTGGACGTGGACGTGGACGTGGTCGTGGACGTGGACGTGGACATGGATGTGGACGTGGACGTGGACGTGGACGTGGACGTGGTCGTGGACGTGGACGTGGACGTGGACGTGGACGTGGACGTGGACAGGGACGTGGACGTGGACGTGGTCGTGGACGTGGACATGGTCGTGGACGTGGACGTGGACGTGGACGTGGACGTGGACGTGGTCGTGGACGTGGACGTGGACATGGTCGTGGACGTGGACGTGGACGTGGTCGTGGACGTGGACGTGGACGTGGACGTGGACGTGAACATGGACGTGGACGTGGACGTGGACGTGGACGTGGACATGGACGTGGACGTGGACATGGTCGTGGACGTGGACATGGACATGGACGTGGACGTGAACGTGGACGTGGACATTGTTGTGGACGTGGACGTGGACGTGGACATGGACATGGACGTGAACGTGGACGTGGACATGGACGTGGACGTGGACGTGGACGTGGACGTGGACATGGACGTGGACGTGGAGGTGGACGTGGACATGGACGTGGACGTGGACGTGGACGTGGACGTGAACGTAGACTTGGACATGGTCGTGGACGTGGACGTGGACGTGGACGTGGACATGGACGTTGACGTGGACGTGGACGTGGACATGGACATGGAAGTGGACGTGGACATGGACGTGGACGTGGACATAGATGTGGTCGTGGTCGTGGACCTGGACGTGGTCGTGGACGTGGACGTGGACGTGGAGATGGACGTGGACGTGGACGTGGACAAGAGCTTGCGTGGTCCAGGAGCTTGCGTGGTCCAAGAGCTTGCGTGGTCCAGGAGCTTGCCTGGTCGAGGAGCTTGCCTGGTCCAGGAGCATGCCTGGTCAACGAGCTTCCCTGGTCCAGGAGGTTGCCTGGTCCTGGAGCTTGCTTGGTCCAAGAGCTTGCCTGGTCCAGGAGCTTGCCTGGTCCAGGAGCATGCCAGGTCAACGAGCTTGCCTGGTCCATGAGCGTGTCTGGTCGAGGAGCTTGCTTGGTCTAGGAGCTTGCCTTATCCAGGAGCTTGCCTGGTCCAAGAGCTTGCGTGGTCCAAGAGCTTGCGTGGTCCAGGAGCTTGCCTTGTCCAGGAGCTTGCCTGGTCTAGGAGCTATCCTAGTCCAGGAGCTTGCCTGGTCAAGGAGCGTGCGTTGTCCACGAGTTTGCCTGGTCCAGAAGCTTGCCTGGTCCAAGAGCTTGCCTGGTCTAGGAGCTTGCTTGGTCCAAGAGCGTGCCTAGTCCAGGAGCTTGCCTGGTCTAGGAGCTATCCTGGTCCAGGAGCTTGCCTGGTCCAGGAGCTTGCCTTGTCCAGGAGCTTTCTTGGTCCGTTAGCTTGCCTGATTCAGGAGCTTGCCTGGTCCAAGAGCTTGCCTGGTCCAAGAGCTTGCCTGGTCTAGGAGCTTTCCTGGTCTAAGAGCTTGCCTGGTCTAGGGGCTTGCATGTTCCAGGAGCTTGCCTGATCCAGGAGCTTGCCTGGTCCAAGAGCATTCCTGGTCCAGGAGCTTGCCTGGTCCAGGAGCGTGCCTGGTCCACGAGCGAGCCTGGTCCGGGAGCTTGCCTGGTAAAGGAGCGTGCCTCGTCCACGTGCTTGCTTGATCCAGGAGCTTGCTTGGTCCAGGAGATTGCCTAGTCTAGGAGCTTGCCTTGTCTAGGAACGTGCCTGGTCCTTGAGTGTGCCTGGTCCATGAGCTTGCTTGGTCCAGAAGCCTGCCTGGTCCAAGAGCTTGCCTGGTCTAGGAGCGTGCCTAGTCCAAGAGCTTGCCTGGTCTAGGAGCTTGCCTGGTCCATGAGCGTGCCTGGTCCAACACAATGGGTTGAACAAACGGTGCGTTGAACACACGGTGGGTGGAACACACGGTGGGTTGAACACATGGTGGGTTAAACACACGGTGGGTTGATCACACCGTGGGTGGAACACACGGTGGGTTGAACGCACGGTGGGTTGAACACACGGTGGGTTGAACAGACGATAGGTTAACACACGTTGGGTTGAACACACGGTGGGTTGAACACACGGTGGGTTGAACACACGGTAGGTTTAAGACACGGTGGGTTGAACACACGGTGCATTGAACATTCGGTGGGTGGAACACACGGTGGGTTGAACACACGGTGGGTTCAAAACACGGTGGGTTCAACACACGGTGGGTTCAACACACGATGCGTTGAACACACGGTGGGTGGAACACACGGTGGGTTGAACACACAGTGGGTTGAACAAAAGGTGGGTTGATCACATGGTGGGTGGAACACACGGTGGGTTGAACACACGGTGGGTTGAACACACGATAGGTTGAACACACCGTGGGTTGAACACACGGTGGGTTAAACACACGGTGGGTTGAACACGCGGTGGGTTCAACACACGGTGGGTGGAACACATGGTGGGTTGAACACATGGTGGGTTGATCACACGATAGGTTGAACACACGGTGGGTTGATCACACGGTGGGTTGAACATACGGTAGGTTTAAGACACGGTGGGTTGAACACACGGTGCATTGAACATTCGGTGGGTGGAACACACCGTGGGTTGAACATACGGTGGGTTCAAAACACGGTGGGTTCAACACACGGTGGGTTCAACACACGATGCGTTGAACACACGGTGGGTGGAACACACGGTGGGTTGAACACACGGTGCGTTGAACACACGGTGGGTTGAACACACGGTGCGTTGAACATACGATGGGTTGATCACACGGTGGGTGGAACACACGGTGGGTTGAACACACGGTGGGTTGAACACACGATAGGTTGAGCACACAATGGGTTGAACACACGGTGCATTGAACACACGGTGGGTGGAACACACGGTGGGTTGAACACATGGTGGGTTAAACACACGGCGGGTTGATCACACCGTGGGTGGAACACACAGTGGGTTGAACACACGGTGGGTTGAACACACGGTGGGTTGAACAGACGATAGGTTAACACACGTTGGGTTGAACACACGGTGGGTTGAACACACGGTGGGTTGAACACACGGTAGGTTTAAGACACGGTGGGTTGAACACACGGTGCATTGAACATTCGGTGGGTGGAACACACGGTGGGTTGAACACACGGTGGGTTCAAAACACGGTGGGTTCAACACACGGTGGGTTCAACACACGATGCGTTGAACACACGGTGGGTGGAACACACGGTGGGTTGAACACACAATGGGTTGAACAAAAGGTGGGTTGATCACACGGTGGGTGGAACACACGGTGGGTTGAACACACGGTGGGTTGAACACACGATAGGTTGAACACACCGTGGGTTGAACACACGGTGGGTTAAACACACGGTGGGTTGAACACGCGGTGGGTTCAACACACGGTGGGTGGAACACATGGTGGGTTGAACACATGGTGGGTTGATCACACGATAGGTTGAACACACGGTGGGTTGATCACACGGTGGGTTGAACATACGGTAGGTTTAAGACACGGTGGGTTGAACACACGGTGCATTGAACATTCGGTGGGTGGAACACACCGTGGGTTGAACATACGGTGGGTTCAAAACACGGTGGGTTCAACACACGGTGGGTTCAACACACGATGCGTTGAACACACGGTGGGTGGAACACACGGTGGGTTGAACACACGGTGCGTTGAACACACGGTGGGTTGAACACACGGTGCGTTGAACATACGATGGGTTGATCACACGGTGGGTGGAACACACGGTGGGTTGAACACACGGTGGGTTGAACACACGATAGGTTGAGCACACAATGGGTTGAACACACGGTGCATTGAACACACGGTGGGTGGAACACACGGTGGGTTGAACACATGGTGGGTTAAACACACGGCGGGTTGATCACACCGTGGGTGGAACACACAGTGGGTTGAACACACGGTGGGTTGAACACACGGTGGGTTGAACAGACGATAGGTTTAACACACGGTGGGTTGAACACACGGTGGGTTGAACACACGGTGGGTTGAACACACGGTATGTTTAAGACACGGTGGGTTACACACCATGTGTTCAACACAGCATGTGCTCAACCTATCGTGTGTTCAACCCACCGTGTGTTCAACCCACCGTGTGTTCAACCCACCGTGTGTTAAACCCACCGTGTGTTCAACCCACCGTATGTTCAACCCACCATGTGTTCAACCCACCGTGTGTTCCACCCACCGTGTGTTGAACCCACCGTGTGTTGAACCCACCGTGTGTTGAGCCCACCGTGTGTTCAACCCACCGTGTGTTCAACCTATCCTATGTTCAACGCACCGTGTGTTCAACCCACCATGTGTTCAACGCACCGTGTGTTCAACCCACCGTGTGTTCAACCCACCGTGTGTTCAACCCACCGTGTGTTCAACCCACCGTGTGTTCAACCCACCGTGTGATCAACCCACCGTGTGATCAACCCACCATGTGATCAACCCACCGTATGATCAACCCACCAATTGTTCAACCCACCATGTGCTCAACCCACCGTGTGTTCCACCCACAATGTGTTCAACCCACCGTGTGATCAACCCACCGTGTGTTCAACCCACCGTGTGTTCCACCCACGGTGTGATCAACCCATTGGTGTTTAACCCACCATGTGTTCAACTCACCGTGTGTTCCACCCACCGTGTGTTCAACGCACCGTGTGTTCAACCCACCGTGTGCTCAACCTATCGTGTGTTCAACCCACCGTGTGTTCAACCCACCGTGTGTTCCACCCACCGTGTGATCCACCCACCATATGTTCAACGCACCGTGTGTTCCACCCATCGTGTGTTCAACCTATCGTGTGTTCAACCCACCGTGTGTTCAACCCACCGTGTGTTCCACCCACCGTGTGTTCAACGCATCGTGTGTTGAACCCACCGTGTGTTGAACCCACCGTGTTTTGAACCCACCGTGTGTTCAACCCACGGTGTTTTCCACCCACCGAATGTTCAATGCACCGTGTGTTCAACCCACCGTGTCTTAAACCTACCGTGTTTTCAACCCACCGTGTGATCAACCCACTGTGTGTTCAACCTATCATGTGTTCAACCCACCATGTGTTCAACCCACCGTGTGTTCCACCCACCATGTGATCAACCCACTGTGTGTTCAACCCACCTTGTGTTCAACCCACCGTGTGTTCAACGCACCGTGTGTTCAACCCACCGTGTGTTCAACGCACCGTGTGTTCAACCCACCGTGTGTTCAACCCACCGTGTGTTCAACCCACCGTGTGTTCAACCCACTGTGTGTTCAACCCACCGTGTGATCAACCCACCGTGTGATCAACCCACCGTGTGATCAACCCACCGTGTGATCAACCCACCGTATGTTCAACCCACCATGTGTTCAACCCACCGTGTGTTCAACCCACCGTGTGTTCAACCCACCGTCTGATCAACCCACCGTGTGTTCAACCCACCGTGTGTTCCACCCACGGTGTGATCAACCCACCGTGTGTTCCACCCACCGTGTGTTCAACGCACTGTGTGTTGAGCCCACCGTGTGTTCAACCCACCGTGTGATCAGCCTTCCGTGTGTTCAACCCACCGCGTGTTCAATATACCGTGTGTTCAACCCCCCGTGTTTTCAACCCACCGTGTGTTAAACCCACCGTGTGTTCAACCCACCGTGTGTTCCACCCACCGTGTGTTCAACTCACCGTGTGTTCATCCCACCGTGTGTTCAACCCACCGTGTGTTAAACCCACCGTGTGTTCAACCCACCATGTGTTCAACCCACCGTGTGTTCCACCCACCGTGTGTTCAACGCACCGTGTGTTCAACCCACCGTGTGCTCAACCTATCGTGTGTTCAACCCACTGTGTGTTCAACCCACTGTGTGTTCCACCCACCGTGTGATCAACCCACCGTATGTTCAACCCACCATGTGTTCAACCCACTGTGTGTTCCACCCACCATGTGTTGAACCCGCCGTGTGTTGAACCCACCGTGTGTTGAACCCACCGTGTGTTGAACCCACCGTGTGTTCAACCCATCGTGTGTTCAACCCACCGTGTGTTCAACCCACCGTGTGTTCAACGCACCGTGTGTTCAA